AGTCATCCGGAACCTTCCCCAGGGCCAGGAAGGTCAACTCCCGCCATGGGTCATATTGATTTTATTGGATGGTTTTTTCCAAAGCAGTCGAACAGCAGCAGGACCAGTGGGGAGGTTTCCAGTTTGGCCTGGGAGGACCTTGTCCTGCTGCTGCGTTTTAAATGGCTCTCTTCCCCCCTTGAGTGTTGAATTCCCCCTCAATCAGCACCCCCCCGCCTATTATCACAGAGGGGCTGAGCCAACCCCGTTTCCTTAAGTCACTGCGAGAGCCCGGGCTCTCACTACAAAGCAAGATACCTCCATCCCCCCTACAGAATAGAGCAGGTGTGTGTGCAGTGATGCAGCTCCTGCCAGCCCCCCACAAGGAAAGAGATGGCAGTGGATGCTGGAAGAGTTCAAGCAAAGGGGAAGATGGAAAGATGGGCATGAAGGGAAAGCCTGCTGGGTCTGGGTTCCACTCTCACCATCTTCCCAGGGAGGCTTTTACAGACGAAGTGCAGGTGGAGGCTGTGAGTCCACAGGGTCACGTGACCTGGGAGCCAGGACCAGCTGTGGCTCCAGAGTCCTTGTTCGTAAGAGAGAGAGTGGCCATCCTATCCTTTCGGTTCACATCAGAGTCACAGGTGCTTTGTCAAAAGCGCTGTGTCCCAGGCCCTTATGCCAGATCCAGGGGGTCAGAATTCTCTAGATAACCGAGTTATAGACATGTACTGCCAGGGACCAGGTGAGAAGCCATAGGTACACTGCTGACGGAAGGTTGGCTCCAGTGATGAGCAAACAGCTCAGGGGCCATGAGAGCTGGGGCGTGGCTCAAGGGCGGTGGCCAAGCCCTGGGCTCCCAGGTCATAACGCCTAACCACCATAATTTACCTGATCCCTTCTGACTCAAGCTGGCAATGGTTCTGGAAAGGCCAGCACGTGTGCCACCTCCTCGGAGACGCCTTTGTGTTTTGTCGGGCGACAAGGACGTCCCAGGCACAGGCACGGAGGCCTGCGGTCACTCTGGTGTCTGGGGGCTGTGGATCATGTCCATGTTGCTGGAGGGTCGAGTACGGGATAGGATGTGAAAGGGTGGATTAGAGAGTTTGTGAAGGTCAGATGTTTTATCTCCTTTTTTTTCCTCTAGAGGTGACAGGGAGCCCCATAAAGGTTTTAATCAGGGGAGCGACACGGTCAGTGTTTGAAGGCTCACGCTGGCTGCAGTGTGGGAAGGTGGACCTGTAGCCAGGGCGGTGGTCAGTTGGGAGACTGTGTGTGGCCCAAGCAAAACATGGGGAGAGTCTAAGCTAAGGGAAGGGACTGGAGGGAAGGGGATGGGTGAGAGACCTATTAGTAGATGCTCCTTTCTTCAATAATCCTCCCTGAGTACCAGCCAGGGGACTGACACTCTGGTAGGTGCTGGAGAAAGAGAAGTCCATCCCCTCACGGGGCTTGCATTCTTGTGGGATAAGCAAAAAGCAATCACACAGAGCATAAAATGTGTGTTCTTCAAAGGAGAGGTGTAAGGTGTTATGAATGAATATAATAGGGAGACACAGTCCAACAAGTCCTCCCTGAGGAAATGGCAGTGGATCAGAGAGGTGAGGAGTGACTAGGAGTTGCCTAGGCAGCGAGGGGAGGAACAGTGTTCTGCGCTGAAGGAACAGCATTTGCAAAGTCCATACAGGTGAAGTGGAGAGAGGGAGGGGAGTGAAGGGCTGGGCAGGGGCCAGGTCGGGCAGGACTTTAGGGGAAGTGGCAGAGGGTATAGCCTTTATCCTAAGAGCAGAGAGAATTTTAACCATGATCTGATTTAAATCTGTGGAAGACTGATGTTCACCTCTGGCCATGGTGGATAACTGGGACTGAATGGGGTAACTAGAAAACTGGACAAAATATATGAAACAACTTGTCCAACATTGGACAACAGGCAGTCCAGTACTGCGCTCACAGGGAAGGAAACAAGCCAGCTGAGCTCTACGATCACCCTGGATTTCTGCCTGGAGCCTCTTTCTTATCTGTGGAGCAGAGATGGGATTCTAAGCAAGCATGACTGTCTTGCTAAGCTGAGCAAGTACAGATGGGAATTTGGGGAGGCCAAAGAGGCTAGAGTGTGTGGGGCGGAATTATAGAGAGGAAGGAGCTGTGCAGTAAAAGAACTCCAGAAATTTGCATGGTCTTGAGTCTCAGCTGAACATTAAGATGCACGCGGGACTCCCCTGGTGGCGCAGTGGTTGAGAGTCCGCCTGCCGATGCAGGAGACACGGGTTCGTGCCCCGGTCCGGGAAGATCCCACATGCCGCGGAGCGGCTGGGCCCGTGAGCCATGGCCGCTGAGCCTGCGCGTCCGGAGCCTGTGCTCCACAACGGGAGAGGCCACAGCAGTGAGAGGCCCGCATACCGCAAAAAACAAAACCAAAACCAAAAAAAGATGCATGTGTACGGGGGGAAATTTCATGAAGCTGTGCAAATGGGGAGCCAGGAGCTTTGTGCTGAATGTTTCTCAGGGCTAACACAGGGATGCGTGTGTTGGGGGCATTCAAGGATATAATAGCCAGCATAAAGAGTCCTCATTGACTACCCAGGGCATTCACTAAGGAGACCAGAGAGCTACACCTTGGCAGTGGGCCTCAACTAATCCTCAAGTCAAGTCTACATTAGACCCACCCTAACAAAGGTTAAAAACGAGTCTCAAAAGTTCAAACTGAACCACAAGTTCAGTTTGTCTGAAAGAATTTTTGTCTACAAAAGTTTTTATTTCACCATCTCCCTGCCAAAACAAAGCTCAATACTCTTCAAAGGAAGACAATACAATCTAGACCCTCGACCCTGTAATAATCGTAATGTCCAGCATCCAATCAAAAATTACTCATCCTTTGCTGATGGGGGTGCCAAACAGTACAGCCACTTTGGTAAATAGTTTGGCAGTTTCTTACAAAGCTAAATATACATTTGCTATAGCACCCAGCAATCCCACTTCTAGGTATTTACCCAAAGAAAATATACACATAAAACATGTACATGAATGTTTATAGTGTACATATTCATAATTGCCCCAAACTGGAAACAACCCAAGTATCTATCAACTAAATGGGTGGATAAACACACCATGGTACATCCATAAAAAAGGAATTCATGCGGTGGGCTGGCTTAGCAACAGAGAGGAACAAAGGACTGAAACACACAACAACTGGGTGAGTGTGAAAGGTATTATGATGAGCGAATGAAGCTGGGCTTGAGAGACTACGTAATATATGGTTCCATTTATAGGACATTCACATTCTGGAAAAAGCAAATCCATAGGGTGGAGATTAAAAAGGGGCATGAAGGAACTTTTTGGAGTGTAAAAAAGCGAACTTCTGACACAATTAAGAAAATGAAAAGACAAGACACGGAGACGAGGAGAAAATATTGAATGCACATATCTGACAAGGGACTCGTATCTACAATCTATAAAGAGCTCTTACTCTTCAATAATAAAAAGACAAACTGTTTTTAAAATAGGAGAAGGATTTGAAAAGACACTTCACAGAAGAAGATACATGAATGGCCAATGAGCACATGTAAAGATATTCAGCATTATTAATCACCAGGGAAATGAAAATTAAAACCACAGTGAGATACCGCTACACTCAGCAGATGGCTAAAATTAAAAAGATAGACAACAACAAGTGTTGGTGAGGATGTGAAAGGATGAATTTTCCTACGTGGTTGGTTGGAAAAGAAGTTGGGCAGGTTCTTAAGAAGTGAAATATAGTCTTATCATTTGACCCAGGAATCCCGCTTTGTGTATGTGCCCCTGGTTGATGATAGTTGGAGAACTGCTGGCCATCACCTTCATTAACCGTGCAGGTCTGCCATGACTGCACTTTGCGTTTGCCTTGCCTGGTCTCAAATTGCTGTGTCTTTTTATGTGCTTGTGTAATTGTGAGAGTTTTTCTAGCTGGTTGCTGCTGTCTGTCAGGGTACATTTGTGTCAATGTTCTTATCTGTAGCAGCCTCTCTCTAATTGTGCCTTCAGTCTGCTGAGTTCTTAATAAGAGCAAGGACAGTATTGTGATGACTGTTTCCTGGCTTCCGTTCTTCATGCCCTATTCACACATTATCTCAGCTCCTCTGCAAGGACAGGGACCATCTCTCTCGTTACCACTGGGTCCCCAGCGCTGGCACAGTGTTGAGATTCAGATCCAAGTGGACCTGACTCGAGTGTGTTCACAAATGCCAAGCTGACAGTGTGAACCTTGAACTCAGCAGTCAGCACCTTGCACGGATGGACATGGATGGGGGGAGCCGGGGAGGGGCTGCAGGGGCAGGTGGGCTTCCCAGAGTTACACGGAATGGGATCTTAACCCTGGAGGTGCTGGGAAGCAGAGGAAAGCCTCAAGCCCAGTTAGAGGTTCTCCAGGGGGGCAGCCCAGGGGCTACCCGGCGGGATGGTGGGAGAGCCCCATGTGCAGTGAATTCGGTACAGGATTGTGCTGGGCGCTGAATGCCAGGCCACGGTGTTGGATTTGACCACAAGTCATCACGCCCAGGAGCCCCACCGGCGGCGGGGGGGGGGG